CGACTTTCTACCATTTTTTCTTGCAATAGACAGAACTTCAAAATTAATTATTAGGCAATTTCATATGCAGATGACTGAGCGCTTAGGTATATAGTAGTATGAAAATTACTAACGCTGTACATATTTTTTGCATTTAATCAAGACTGCTGTCTAAGGAGGTATAATATCGTGGATCCTAACATGATAATACATTGAGTAGGATATAAATTAGTTTAATATAATTTACTAAATAAGAGTTAACATAACTCACCTACAAGCAGTCTGTAAATCGTCAGTTATTCTCCATTAAGCCATAAACTGAACAAAAGTTATTACTGTCCAATGAATTATAATAATGATTGAAGCTAATGAAACTAAGCCTGGAGAAAATGTTTCCACAGATTATCTCCGACTGTCTTTTAGAGAAGAGATTGAGTTTCCATGGGCATAGTATAAGAGAAAGCGGTCTATTTGGACCCCAGTTAGGTTTTTAAGAATAAGCATTTTTATAGATAACGGCAAATAATTTGACAGAGCTAATTTCTTTTCACTCCTGTGTGGTTATTTTGGTCGACAGAAAAATTTGTAACTCCCCATGATTTATTTTGTTTTTCAGGGTGTTATACCTATATTTTTCACTTATTGTTTACTTGTGCTACCATGATTGTTTTCTTTTTGTTCATTTTCTCGATTTTTTATTACTGTACCATTAAAAAACATAGGGATGCAAACCTTTTAAAGAAGTAGGTTGTACATTTCTCCTCCCTTGCATTAAGACGATTGTTTCCCTAGTTTTTACATAGAGGATACATCCGATTGTCACCACATTAAGAGCATCCATAAATACGGGTATATTGATTTATACAGTCTAGATGTTCTAAGCTATGATAATTAGGATTAGGCCATCATCAGCGTAGGATTTTATGGGAATGCGTTACCATGCAATTATTGATTACATTAACTATCGATAATCTTACCACATCTTCACCAACCTTCTTGACGTGTTACGGCGTGTATTGTTGGGATATGGCTAGCTTAGTTTTATTTGCAGTTATGACTAGGTGTTGTAGCACTGTCATAAAATGATCAGCAGCTCAGTCTAGTTGGTATAATTTGCGAATATTCCTATATAAGAAGTTAAACAATGGCTTTTGTTAAAAATATATATCTTAACATCGCAGATTACTGCTGTTTTTACTAAAAAAGTCTTGTGTTTTGCCACCGTTTTTCAAGCTGATCATAAAATATGCAATGATGGTTGTCGGATGTTGACTTATCTAGTATAACACTACTTTATTAAAACATTCTTCATAGACACGGATTGTAATCATCTAAACTATTTTATTGTAAGGGTTACTTCGTAAATAGTAAGCTTTAAAAAATTGTGAACTTCAAGAGGTTGACAAATGTGTCTATCTTATGCTCTGATTTTCGTTGTTTTTCATGCTGATATTGTAGTAACAATGTAATATATTTACAATTTAATAGAATATCCTAAACTATTCAAGAAATATTTAAACTTTATTTATTCTTCACTTTTTTAATGCCAATCTAATTAAAGTAGCTCCAACAAAAAGTATTACGAATTAAGAAAGCTCAGATATTTTCTAACTACATAGTAGTTGAACTACCCCGGATTCCAAACACTGCTTTTCAACTGAAAGTATTAAGGATGAAATGTTCAACAAAGCAGTTAAGCTTTTTAAAAAAGATACCTCTTTGTCACATTTAATATCAAAAAGTGAAATTTGCTTCAAATCACCCGGATATTTTATTAACGCTCATCGTCTGGTTGATATAACGGATTTAATTAGCTTTGATATGATACACAATAAAGATCAATTAAATTCTCTTCTGTTTTCAGATGTTGGGTCTCTTCTGCAACCATCTGATGAAGATAGTTATTGATTATCGCAAAAGAAATTCAGTTACTGCGCGATTTCTATTAAAAGAAAACTCAAGTGAAGACAAGTAAAATAGCTACTCAAACCCTTCTACTAAACCCCTTCATCCAAATCAATCTATGGTTTATAAATTATGTTTTCCAATATTTAAAGATTTCCTTCTATTTCTAAATGTTCGGAAATAAAATGATAGTGTATTTATGAAAAATTAGAATTTAATACGGAATTCCTACATATCAATTCCTTTGGAAACCCATAATTCATCAGCAGGTTTGCTGGAATTTCTGTAAATCATCGGATAGACGAGTGCTGGCTTAACAAAGATTACTTCAGTTCATCCTGCACCAAAATTCAACGACCATATTGCTTCCAGTTAATCAGCATTCCAAGAAATATTGATCTGTAAATGAAAGCTTGGTTTTTTAAGTTATCCATACTGCAGCAATCAAATAACACAAACAATGATCTTACGCAATCGACTAGATTTTTCTTTCATTCTAACTTTTCAGATTTCGTTTACGAGTACCATTACAATGCTCACTAGGAGTATGTGTGCACTTATCAAATTGCTTACATACTCTTGTTACTTCTCGTGGAGGTGCATTGATTGGTCACCAGCATTCTCCACACAGATCCCACTTGTTATTCATCCTTTTCATATCTCCTCACAATTCTCGGTGCACTGTGTTCACCGGCATCCCCAATTTCCGTTTTCCTTCACAATTCCAAGTTAGCGATTGCTTCATGATGCAGTTTGGTGATTTCCACAATGTATGTCCTATCTACTCCCAGAGTCTTTCCCTCATTTCCTCTTCAGATGGAGGCTGGTTTGTTCTCTCCCACAGTAGGCTGTTGCTGACGATATCCGACCAACGGATATTGAGTATCTCACGTAGACAACTGTTTATAAATACTTGTACCATTTTGGTGTTGGTTGTAATAGTTCTCGAAGTTTCAGCTCCGTACAGTAAAACTGTATTGACGTTCGTATTGAAGATTGTCACTTTGATATTGGTTAAGAGACAGTTGTTTTGAGTTTCATATGTTGTAGAATTATAGGAATGTTTCCCTTGCCTTGCCAATCCTCGCCTTGACATCTACATCAAATCCTCCTTGTTCGTCGATGATGCTGACCTGTGAGGTACGTGAAAGTTTCCACCTGTTGCAGAGGTTCTCCATCAAGTGTGATTGGTTTGATTGGTGTTCTCTGTGTTGTATTTGAGGATGCTAGTGTTTTCCTTGTGCATGTTGAAGTCTAGTGCAGTAGAGACCGCTGCTGCACCTGTCATATTGATCTGCATTTGTTCGTGTGTATGGGATAGAAGGTCTGGGAGATCTGTGAAGTCCAAATCGTCTATTTGATTCCGAGCTTCCCATTAGATGTGGAGGTCTTCGTAATCCAGTCAACCACCATAAGAATGATAAAGGTGAGAGGAAAAGAGACAGAGAGAGTAAGCAACCTTGCTTGACTCCGGTTCTCACTTGGAATGCGTCTGTCAGCCGTCCTACATGCACGACTTTGCATCGTAGTTCGTCGTATGAATTTCAGATGATGTTTACGGCTTTCTTAGCTACTGATATCATAGTGTGGAAAAAGGTTCCATAGGGTTCTCCTATCCACTCTGTCAACTGTTTTTGCATAGTCAGTGAAGTTGGTGTATAGTGACGAATTCCATTCAATTGATTGTCCAACGATTACCCGTATTGCCACAAATTGTTCTGTGAACAACCGATCCTTACGGAATGGAGTCGGTTGAACTCTAAATTAGATGTCTGTTGAATCTTTCATCTGGTTGAGCAACAGTCTTTTGAAAACCTTTCCTGCTATCGACATTAGTGTGCTTCCTGTGTATCTCTTCTAGAAAATTACTGCCGGTCTCTTGCCGGGTAATGCAAGAGGATTGAGCATGGGTTCGGCAACCCCATCCTGTAGATAAAAACACCGGCCAAATTGCTTTTACATAGTTTTATAAATATTCCAACAGTATTGTATTATATATTTTTCAGTGTTCTTATAGAATGTATTGCTTTTTTTCACAAAAATAAAATAAAATGATAGAAGCTTTGATTTTTCTCATTTATTCATTCAATTTGTGTGTTTGTTGTTTTATATTTCATTTGTAAAGAGAATTTTAGTTTTTTTTATATTTAATCATTACCTTGGTTGATTATTCTGAGATTGACTATTTAAAATGTTGTGATAACAACTCTGTTTTTCTTTTCATCATGTTTATCGTCAGGATATTCGTAAATGAACACAGGGATTGTTGGTTTATCTTGAAGTATTTCATTAAATGTGATTACGATTTATCAGTAGACATGCTTTCAGTTAGTTGTTGAATTGTATTCTATTATCTATTGGCAGTTTCATCACTGGGCATTCCTTTCATGTGAACTTAGTTATCCTGTTGGTAAACTTTCCTTTACCATCTAAGAAAGTATTAAAATACCAATTAAATGTGTTGTATATGTTGCCTTGTTAATAGAAAAATAGGCCTCAGTAATTTTTTTTTGCTGTTGCATATATATATATATATATATATATATATATATATATATATATATATATATATATATATATATATATCTTCTAGGTCTAATAATGATCTAAATCCACTCTTCAATTGATATGTTCAAAAAGACGCATATGGTCAGGACCCTACACTAATTCTGAATGCGAGGTATTAGTGGATATTAAGTCTTTTTGCGTTATCACTTATGTAAGACGATGTTTCACTGATGTTTCTTTGTTGAAGAAAAATTTCGGGTTAATGTTCACTGTTCTCATACATCCGACGAAGTATACCCTAACTGTTGTATTCGCTATACTACTAAGTAACATGTGAAATGATTTTTTCTTTCCTGTGTTAAAATGTACTTCACCGAAATGTATTTCTTTTAAATCCAGAATTATGCTCCAGGATTAACTTTATTCGCTGCCTAGTTTCATTAATATCCCAACAACTTTTATCACCTTACAATCAAATATATTTTCGTAACATCTATTAGCATATGGATGTGTTATTTTTTTCTCAAGAACGCTATGTGGTTGAAAAATGCAACATGATTGCGTCTATTTTTCTAAACCACAAATTTCTTCTTTTCCTACTTTTCTTAGGTATTTATGAAGGTTTATTTGTGTTACATACTAGCTGAAATTGTTTCATTTTCATAATTCAACCCACAATTTTAATGCTTGTTCTTCTGTGGATCGATCAGTAGCCAATGCTTTCACGTATTATTTACATTAAAATTACACAATTAAATTTGACCTTGTGATTCAAGTCTGAGATTAGTGAGTAGATTCAGTCGTGATTTTTTTAATGTTCTAGATACATCCTTTTGATAATTAATAATATTTCTTACATAATAATCTGTAACTAAAAGCTTGTTAAACAATATTGTACGTATTTACTGAACAACCAAGAATTTTTATACGAAGTTAGTTTATTAGTTCATCAATCAATTTTTGGTCCATAATTTGAATAAAATCTTTCCTTTTGTGTAACAACGATAGTCTATTTATTTTTTTCATTTATTTTTAGCCTATTTTAAATCCCTTGCTTCTACCTAGTCAGGGGATTTAATAGAATATCCATCAAATTATCAAAGCCATTATTTTTCATTCTGCTTTCACTAACAGAATCGATGTTTCAGTCAAGAAAGTCAATTTCTTTCCTACTATTCACTTTTTACATAACAATTTACTGCCAGTCAACGATCTTTGATCCTGAAACCGGTAAACACTATCCAATATCAGATTCTTCTCGTATAGAAGACATCCCATTTTTGTTGCCTAGTCCTGATCCTAAAGAGTATCCACCAGAATTTCTTAACTCTTTACTGGAGCATTGTAATGATCCCATGCCTAGTTACATCGAACTGTTCTCAAAAGCTTGGATTGCTTTTAAAGAAATGGGTTTTAGCAAATCAACGTTTCAAAACACTTTCTTATTTGTTCGCCGCATCATCTCTGCTATACGTCCATTACAAGTGTTTCATGCTTTACTGACAGGCTTTTTACTTACTCTTCTTCGAGTGTATATCACACGAAAGCTTTATACGGTGAGTTTTTTTTGACAACTTAACACCCACTTATTGGTTCGCTATGTATTCAAATGAATGCATTGTAGTGCTTAAGAACGAAGTGAATCTATAAGTTGTTGATTGTTTCGCGTTTCATCGGTATGATGTGTGTAGTCATTTCCTATTTAACAAAACTGTCTACATACACGCTTCCTCCTATTTAATATGCGTAGTTTGGCCTACACTATTATAAACTAGAGTAAAGAGTCATAGTTAATTATCTCAGTTTAAAGTAGGTTATAATGTAAACAAAGCTACATAAAATAATCCGGGTTGGTTTGGTACGACCTGATAATCTTCGTATCAGTTTAATGCACACCGTCTTACATCTGTCTATCCTCATGGAGTATAGGCCGCCAACCAGGATTTTCCAACTTACTCTGTCCTGAGCTCTCTTTCCATTTGTTCCAAAGTGCTATTCGTCCTTTAGATATCTGCTTCCGATTACTGATGCAACGTGCTTTCTTGTTTACCTCTTTAGCATTTAGGATTCCAAGTTAGGGCTTGCTTTATGATGTAGCTTGGTGATTTTCATAATATGTATATACACCTCTTCCTAATTTCGTCCCCATCTGGAAGCTGGTTTGTTCTATGCTACAGTAGGTTGTTGTTAATGCATATCATCTAATATTATAATATTCATTGATTATAATTGTCTATTGATAGGATGGATGTCATAAAATGGTAGTGCAACTTCAGAATTTGATTTGAAACCACACCAGTAAAGTCGAATATCTATGTAGTCAGAACTCTGAATAATCATTTATGCTGTTATTACTTAAATAGGCTGTGAGTAATTAATTGCTGATTAGCCTTCACTGATATGAAGTATACCGGGGCAGTTATCATTTTCTGAAACCAGATGTGTCTGTATTAGAAGACAGAATAACAATGGCTGATATAGAGGATATCTAGTACAAAAGTAAACATTTTCAAAAGCTATTTATTGAGACGTATACGATTTTAGAGTAAGGGTTTTTATAGCATACACAACAGTAATCATTACTGACTTATATAGCTTTTGTCCTATAGACTTGGGATTTGAGTGTTCGATCTCTAAGTGAACCTTCCATGTTTAGTAATTCGTTTTTTCACCAGTTACCCTTTTCAAATTCAGCATCTGGAGTTTGTCCATAGGATTGGCTTTACTGTGTTTATATTACACTCATTTATCTTAGAGGATTTTACGACAAAACTTCACTGGATATTAGCTAATTAACATGAGTAATTTTACTTCATTTCACAGTATATTTTGTGTACATTATCCGGTTGCTCAGATCAAAGTAATTAAGTTGGTTTAAAATGTAGAAATTATTTCCAGTATGATGAGTGTGTTTTCAGAATTTTGTAAAGAAGATATATTTCTATTTTTTAGAGGCTTATTACCGATGTTGGTGTAACTCCAGAAGTTTCTGGTAAACTTATTGAATCTGGTTGGAAATGTTTTTGGTTCTTATTTATGTGGCTTTTTAGCCTACAGGTTGTAGTTTTAAGTGGCAGAACAGATTTCCAATATCCCTTGTGTGTCTTTCGTAATAACATATTTACAAGTAAGTATTCTTCTCATGAAATTAATTGTTTAACTAGATCTACGGCTTCCTGAAGATTACCTTCAACTAATCCAACTAACCCTACAGTGTTTGTATAAACAAAATATCGGACAATATTATAAAACACCTGACAGTTTCTGGACTTTACTGTGTAGCTTTAACTGCGTTCTGAATATGTGTTGGACGGATTACCATTGATTCTCGAAATTTAGAATATGTTGAAAGTGTAGTATTCAAACGATTTGATTACTTTAAACTCATAAGCATACATTTTCCGTTATCTTCGTATAATGCTGAGTAGAAATCTTAAGAAGGTAGTAAATAGTGCCACAATTACAATCATTCGTAAAAATGATCTGGCATAAAGAGAAATATCTTTGTCATTAGGAGAAAGCACTTTTGAACTGAAATACATTTACACTTTTTCTAAGATATGATAATAAAGTAAACTATTGTATATGTTTAATAAATTAAATCTATGCTGATAATGTTGACTGTGTCAAATCACTGTGCTTACCACCGTTAAATCCTTAGACTTAAAATATAAAATAGATCTAATTTTCCTTTCCATTGTCCAATGAACTTCTATTAACATCAATATCAAATAGAATTATTGGAGTACGTTTATTCAGCATAAAATCGTCTCAATAATCCCGATTAGATCAGATCATAGTTTTACAAGTAATTTGTCAGTTCATGTCAGATGATATACTGATATATCTTTAAAATAAAGCCTATTGTAGTGAACGAAAACTTAAGCGGGGTAAACGAATTTATTGAATAAGGCAAAATTACACAGTGCTTTCCTAAAATATGGAAACCATACATTAAGTACATTATTTGCACATTTCCCATCAATTGTTCTTGACATACCTCATTATTCTTTCAATTCTGTTATTATTCCAATTGTCCTCTGCTTTCCTTCCTGTTCTCTTCAATTCAGTCTTCAGCTGGTGGTTATTCCATTTCTCATTATTGCTACATACCGCTTAAATCTGTCAGCATAAGCAGCATACACCACAGTATAATTATAAAATAATATAAAGAGGTGTGTCAGTTGTAATGTCCACCTACATTTTCATGCTTTTGACAATTATATATTCATTATATAAAAATAAACCTTGACTTCTTCTATATGCATCATATCTTTAAATTATGAATAGATATTGTTTCAGGGAATTAATTTGATGGGATTCAAAAATGCTCTGTATACTTTATAGATTTTATATCTCATGAGAACTGTAATATATTGGTTATGATTTTTAAGGGTGACTTTTCTTAGTGTCGTGATCAGTTTTGATAGAAAAATGATAAGGATTCAACAAAAGCACTAGTTGTTGTGCTAAATAGATTCATTTAAATGATCAATTCAAATGACATAGAATGAATCGTTCGTTAACGTCTATCTAATTTGATTTCAGTGTACAGAGATATGGAAACTAAAATATGAAGTAGCGTCATAGTACAATAAATATCTCGCATAAGTGGTTCGATTTTAAAGGATATTAATATATGGTGAATATTTGTGTTTCATTAAATGTGGTTTATTACCTTGTGTTAGTGGCTACGATAGTTATTTCATGAAGTTTGGCTATCTCATAAAAAGCATTTTAAGCTAATCAGAAAGATTGTGAATTATCAATTTTCCAAATCCCTAATCAGAATATTTAAATTCCGAGAATTTTCAGAGAAAATTTAAGAATACATATTCATAAATATATGATTGATTGTAATGGAGTTCATCAACATACATTTCTTTGTGAGATGTATTGATACAACATAAAAGTCAGTTGTTATTGACTAATGGTACCTAGGTAAGATGTTGAAGTTGCTTGGTTCCGAAAGCATTCGATCTGTAACCAGTGGATATCAGATATGAACATCGCTCCATCTACTTTGATTTTAGAAAAATGGGTAGTATCACTAGCTTTTATACATGATGTGGTTCAAAGTTGAGCAAATAAATTCATGCTTAGTATAGGAGTTACATTTTAAAGCTTGAAGTATCAACACTTATTTAAAAAAATGGAACTTCAAAGCTAGTTTGAAATCAAGTTCGAACCACTAACTTAAGTGTCATGTTCAAGAAAAGTAATCCTTTACATGATTTAATATAGGGTCTCATTGATTTATAAGTATTGTTTTCCCAGTTGGCTGTATGAAATATTAGACACTGACCAGAGATATAACCACTCAATTTTAAAAAAGCAGCTCAATGGTTTAATAACCCAATTTTTCACTGGATAGTGACAGTTCCAAACGTCTCTTCAATTATTCTGATAGTATCAAGTGTGACAAAATCAAAATTGTTCTTGATTACTAAGTAAAATCAGAAATATATGCATGCACATAACTTGACTAACTTCATGATTTTTTTTTCTTAAATTGAATTGTTTTAATCAGTTGGCTACTTTGATATTCCGACCCCTCCTGATTACTATTGGCTTTATACACTGCAGTTAGGATTCTATTTACATTCATTATGGAGTGTATTTTTTATGGATTTGTGGCGTAAAGATTCTTCTGTATTAGTTCTACATCATTGTTTGACACTTTTACTGCTAGAAGGTTCATTATTGCTAAGGTAAGATAAATAAATTATTCTCCATAAAGTAGTTATTACATTGCTTCGATTTATTCCTGATAACTCATGAAAATAATTGAGATTAAAATCATCTTAAAATTCGTTCAACATTATCTTATTCTCAATCATTTTTGTGATTTCATATACCATATGAATTTAAAAGCATTTTAAGGGCCGATTACCACTTTGATTTTTATTTAATCTCAATGGTTAAGATCATGAGTCAGTTGAAGCTAGACCACAATGGAAAACCTGGAAGCACTGAATGGCCGTTTCGTCCTATTGTGGGACGCCTCAGCAGTGTGCATCCACGACCTCGCCCCCTGCGAGATTCGAACCCAGGACCTACTGGTTTTATTTAATCGTTAACATTTTATGAAAATTAACGGAAACTATTCAAAACAGTCTTTCTATAAGCCTTAATTTGTACCTTACTTCTATTAATGGTGTTACATATCAGATGCAATCTTTCAACATCTTTTTATACTCTGTATATAGCATACAAAGAGTGCTTGTTGGTATAAAGAAACGATTATTTAATGTGCTAAAACATTTTGGAGAATTAAATAAAAATCAAGTGAATCATCGGGAGAAGATGAAAAATCAAAATTAAAGTGAAAATAATTTTTCGAAAAACATTAAAAATTGAAAGTAGAAATAGATAGTGGTAGGGGGATCACTTTCCAATTTTAAAATTAAGGATAGGAGAAGAAAGTGATTTTGTCAGTACCCAACTCAATTTTTCTAATAGTTTTCGTTCATGCTTTCTCCTCATAAATTGAAGGATATATATAAAGTTTGTGAAGTATCTAATGTACAACTTAAAATCAATAAACTCGCTATGAAGAATTGAATAATATGCATTTTCACACTGATTCCAATTCTACTGAAGTAAATCTAATCAAACCCATTTACAAAACACGTTTTCCGTACATGACTTTAGACTGCAAATTTTCTATGTGAGGGATAGGGTTGCTACTCAACTAGCTGAACTGTGTTTCAGTGTTCAAATTTGTAACCTAGCTATTAAAAGTCGAATACTGTAACTCATAAACCACCAATCAACCAAGTTCGATTGAAATAATAAATAACACTTATTGGCAATAATCTTACCTCTTATGAAAAGCCAAATATTCGAATGCAGTCACAGAAACGTACAAGTTTAAAATTTGAGATAAGTTAACTAAACTATTCGTGGAAGCTATATGAAATGTTTTGGAATTCCATCTGATGATTAGATATTTACCGATATCTATTGGTGTAACGATGTATTAATTTTAATGAGTATAAACTTTAGAAATGAGGAGAGGGGTTGCTTGATTTAACAATCACAGTAACCGACCGAACGGTAGACTCAGGGCGCACAAATCACTATCAACTACTGTTGTAAATGAATCTCTTTGGGCGCATATTTATTCGAGTGGTTATTAGTAGATTAATCTTAGACTTCAATACAAGATGAATATTTTCAACTATAAAATAAATCAAGAAAATACTTATAATGTTGTAAAATCCCATAGAAATCCAACACCAGGAGAAAGCTTCATTCTTTAATACTCATTCGATTGCTATATGGTAATTTGTAACAGTGCTCCCAAATGCCCTGATATGGCCGAGAGTGGGGTGGGCCTGCTCTCCCTCTGGAAATGCTCTCGCACGGCCACGCGTATACAGCCTTTACCAGGGAAGTCCTACTCACTGCCTACTCGTGGCAAGGGTGTTGTTTACGAAAATGAGAGGACGAAAAGGGAATGTTCGGCGCTTTAACCGGATTCCAAACCAATGGTGCACATGGGCTCCAGTATCCTGCGGGAACAAATGACGTATGAACCAATCGTTGGTCACCGGCTTCCATGGGACTGCATCTCCTTACGATGATCCACCGCCTTGTGGATCAGACCTTTAGGTCGAAGGCTCGGGGAGTGGCCCCCTAAGAAAACCACCTGCTTCGGTCTGGGCACTCGGGCAGTATCACAGCCCACACACACAAATATGGTGTGGCACATATATATTTGGTACCCTTTTGTACCAATATTTATGTGCTGAAATAAAATAAAATAAATAATTTGTAACAGTGCTTATTTCAGTAAAGCTGTTAGTATTCTAAAAAGCATTGGCATTCCATTTTGTAGTGTATGTGCTTGGCCATGATACGTTTGTTTAAGTTAGGATCTAACCATTAATCAAATGTCGAGATTTTGTGGTAACATTTATGGAAAGCGTAAACAGAATGGTCACTACATAATCTTACAGTTGACTTTAGATACATTCAGCATTCATTCAAACGTCACTAACAAAAATGCATCGTTACAATATTCAATGAAAATGTTTGCTTATTTTTTATTAACAAAACGGTTCGCTAAAAACTCAAATTGACTGACGCTTAGTCAGCAGTAGTAAAAAAATGTGACTTTCAATCATTAAGTCACGGATTTAAGTTTTTTACTTCATATTATTCAGTCTTGTTGGCTAGGCCATATCACTAGTCTTTACAAAATAGGGTTTAGTTCAAAGTTAAGTATGTAAACTTGGACTCGATAATTGAGTTTTATCAAAGCAGTTATATCTTATGTCTTTATTATTGGAACATGATGTCTCGACCCAAGGTTTTTCCAACTTTATTCATCGTCTTGTTGTATGTGAAATTACATGTGAATTGTGAGTTATTTTAGTCAGTGAGTAATGTAAGTTATCACACGTTGAATAACGGTTACTATTATTTCTACCTTAAGTTCAAAGATGATAATGTGCTGTATTAGCGTGAGCGTAAAACTTAAAACGTCAGTGATCTATTCACCTTAAAAGTGTTTGTATTTATACCGAAAGAAATTGTAGAGACCTGTAGGTTCTTAGTTCGAGTCCCCATGAGGTCGTGAATAAACACTGCTAAGGGGTTTCATACTAGGACTTAACAACTATCCAGTGTTTTCTATTTCTTTGACTGTTGTCTTACTAAACCCAGTCCTTGATATCTAGTATGAAATCTAAAAGTCTCCACAAACCTCGTGTAGTAATTTCGTTCTTACTATCGCTTTTTTTCAATTCAGTCTTCTAGTCAAAAGTTCTCACTACGCTTTACTCATCATTTGTTTAAAGTTTATTTCTCTCTCCATTTGTGTGTTTTCAAATATATCTTTTAGAATACATCGTGCGGGTGTTGTAACTTTACTTCTACATGATTTATGCGATGTATTTTTAGAATTCGGTAAAATAAATGCCTACTTGCGTATTCGACGCGGAAAAGTGTATACTATTCACGTAACTATTGCCAATATATGTTTTGCACTATTTGCAACATCATGGTAAGTAAATTGGGAAGTAAAATGATTCATTGGTAAATTATTATTCTATTAATAATTTTCAAAAGACTAGTATTTTAACGAAGAATATTCTTTTCTATAAATTCTCCTCAGGTTCTACAATTATATATACAAAAAATAATAATCCGAAAAATCAGAATGGGTTTTGTGGAGATTTTTAGAAATTTCACAAATTGAAATCATGAGTCAATTGAGGAGTCCCATACCAGGACGAAACGGCCGTCTAGTGCTTCCAGGTTTTCCATAGTGTTCTAGCTTCAATTGACTCATGATTTCAACTTGTGAAAAATTCGAAAAATGGTCAGGTTAAGGGCAAAGTACATCGTTTAACAAAATGCAATAAAAATGTTAATGTTGATATGACTCATATAGAATGTTAACTTGAATCTGAGTATACGTTAAGTGAAATTTTATGATCCATGATCAGAATAAATATGGGTCAAATAGGGTGACAGAGAAATAATAGTGTAATTACAATTAGATCAAATTAACACTCAGATAATTCCCCAACTCAGAAAGTCTATTGAAATTAAGACAAATAATGATACACTGTGAAGTGTGTGGGTAATTATAAAAAATTTTAAGTTCTCATTGTTGTTCAGTAAATAAAAATGCAAATTTTGCAAACATCATATTTAACCGCACACTTGCGGTTTAAAAATTTCAAAAAGATGATTTAGAGTATCCTTTTTCATTTTCGGGAAATATTACATTACCCAGTATTGGAAGGGTACCTTAGTTACGAAATGAGTTTTTATATTTGCAAAAGCTATATTTTTCTGATGGTATTTGATAAAATTTTAAACTCCCATCTTAACTTTGGAAATTTACCATTCAGATTTATTTGCTCTCATACACAGTTACAGAAAATCAGCAAGATCGTATAAACTTAGAGTTCAAGTTATTCCATGCTAAGGTATCAAAATTTATTTGTCATCTCCAGGATATTGGTACGTAGTTACAAACATTCTATTTCCATGCTATATAGGTTTTAATTGACTTGATTATTTTATTCAGTCACTATGTGATTATCAGCGGAATGTATTGTAGACTTGTCTAGTCCTGATCCTAATCAATTAATCTACGCCGTCTGTAATCACTAGGTCTTTCTTTCTATATATACATATTTAGATAGCGATTCGGGCTACATATTTCCTAACTATTCAAGTGTTGAAATAATTTCCCTACTTTCAATTTGCTTTAACCTACTGATACATTCGTACACTATTTCAGTAATTTATAACTTCAATACCATGAGCGAAACTATTCTGTTCTCTTCTTTATCCATCCCGGATAACTAGAGTAATTACACCATTTTTGCAAATGAAGTTATCTGATATGAACTCAATAAAATCAGTCAAAATACGTTTAGTTTGTTGATGAAATATCAATAAAAAATGATTAGAACTGACACAAAATATCATCAAAAAATGGATTGAATCTCTATAACTAGTGTTGATACTGAATAATGTACTGTAATAAAGTTTCAACCGAATCGATAATAAATTAATTCATATAAGTTATATTTTAAGATTGCTTATCCCCAGTACTTACTGATTATGTATTTTAATTATATTATTTACTAAAGTACCTTTACAAAAAGCTAACAATACCAAGTGTTTAAATAGACATTTTTCCCCTCCATACCTCTTTATTCTATTATGTGTGACGAAATATCAGTACGGATACAGAAGGCTCGACTAGCTTTTGCCAAATTGCGTCATTTGTGGCGTAGGTGAGATATCCGTCAACCCGTTAACCAGAGGACGGGTTTACTGTTCAGCAACTCGTTCTGTCCTACTGTATGGCAGTGAAACATGGCTGGTAAGAGTAGAGGATATTTGCAGGTTACTAGCATTCGATCATAGGTATCTTCGAAGCATTACTCGTATATCCAGTGACCACCGAGTAAGTAATGTAGTTGTTAAGAAACGGGTACTAGGTAAGAATGGTAAATCAATAGATGAAGTAGTGAAACTTCATCAGTTGAGATGGCTGGGACACCTGTTACGTATGGTCAACAACCGACTGCCTCGACGAGCGATGTTTCATGGTGTAGGAGTAGGTTGGAAGAAAGCTAGGGGCAGTCAGACCAAAACATGGCATAAATCCATGAAGTCACTGACATGTGGACTGAGTGAGCCATGCTGGTAGGTGCAGACTATCTGGTTGGGGACCGCGAGATGATAACAACCGATGGTTAGAGACCCTGAATGACATGGCTCAAAGTCGTTTGCAATGGCGCAGGTGCATCCACTCTTTGTGTTCTCCCAAATTCTAATCTTCTGAATTCTTCATGTCCCTTTTTTTCTTTCCAAATTTATCTCACTATATTATACTCCTAGAATAACATCATTACTTCATTAAGTAAATCATAAAAGTAAAGAGAATTCAGTGATGAAAACTATCTTTTCGACAAAATTATTTACTTAAGTTGTACATTTGTATTTATGATTGTATGGTAAATATATGTCTATAGAAGAATAGAAAAGACTGCATCATAAAGTGTTTTTCGTTCTTCTTCATATCTGTCAACTGGACAATTATGTTTCATAATTATTTCCAGCCTTATATTCTTGTCTTACACCTTGATTATTGCGTAACCTCATTTGATAATAAAAGTCTCGAATCAATTTATGATGCAATCTTTCTTATCCTTCTATAAGGATATTTATCATACAACTGTAAATACCAATGTACAGCTTAAGTAAATGATTTTGTCGAAAAGAAAATCTTCGTTGAACTCTATTCTCAATCAACTATTCAATCAACTCATGATCTCAACTATTGAAATTACTATAATATCCACAAACCCCTTTCTGATATTTTAATTAAGTATGCTAAATAATTTCACTCTAATTATATTGTTTTTTTCGTAAATTTGAGCTGTTTTGCAACTTATGAAAAGTCTTAAAATATGGTGAATTTATTCAATTCTTCTAATTTGGTTACTTTTGCTCTCTATACATCAACTTTTATTGTTACCATTATTAGTGAATTCATATGAAGTTATATAAATACATTTTGCAAATGGGTTTCCTTAAATTCCTCTGTTTTTTCTTCATAGGGTTGTTTTACGACTATATTTATTCCCATTGAAAGTTTTATACGCTTCCTCTTGGGGAGCTTATATTTGTTTAGTCGGTCGAGAAAACAGAGGATTTCTGTTTTTCAATTTACTGCTATGGTGTTTATTTGTAATGCATATATATTGGTTTACGGTATGTTGATGCTGTTTTTTTCCTTGTATTCTATTACACTTATTAAATGATTACATATCTGCTTCCTACTACATAATGTAATGTTCTTAGAGATATTCACTTTTATCAGATACTCTGTATTACATACCTATAGTTTTTTTTTAAAGTTAAATTTCTTATGCAGTCATACAGTTAGTATTTCGTAGTATGAAATTATCTATACTAAGTTCGGTAGTGATTTATATTAAATACTATATTTTTACTATTACCATTGTTTCTAGTTTAGTAGTCTATTTATAGATACATTTTAGTCCCAGTCATTCGTTTTAAGATCAATAAAAGGGTTAACCTATTCACTGAGGAGTCCTGTACTAGGACGAGACGGCCGCCCAGTGCTCCCAGGTTTCCCGAGATGGTCTAGCTTTAATCAACTCATGAATTCAACCATTTTTTACTACAATCTACGCAAAACCCCTTTCTGATAAATTTATGGTTCTTCAATCGTATTATCTACATTCGACGTTTCCTGTCACTCATATTGTTACTACGTCTACTACTTTGACATTGCTTCCAACTAATCGACTGATGGATTGACTCGAGGAAGTCTGAGACTGACAGAAAGTGGTAATTGAAAAGGTGAAACGACATAGTTCGATTTATCAGTTTCATTGCAAATGTCCAATGAATGTTTTCTATTTGATTTGTTCAGTTGTAATGTTTCTATGTACTTTACAAATAATACACGATAGCTTGTACTGTCGGATTGTACGGTGTCTATATTTTTAATTAACTTAATGCTCCTATTTATTCGACTACTTCATTTGTACGCATAGATTTTTGTGGTCCGTTAATTTGACTACAATTTGATTGAATGATGATGTTAACGAAGTATACATGTCGTCAACCCTCATATATAATTATCAACTTAATTCGCATCAGAGAATAACGGAACAAAATAAGTCAAATACGAGAATGAATTTTGGATGCGTAGGTTTCATACACTCGTTGATCCAGACAGATAATCAAAGAAACAAAGCGGAGAAGTTGACCATATAAGGCAAATATGTCAACCTCATCTGATCAAGCGTGACTCAATGTTAATAAAGTTGAAGACATGTGATGAGTAGGATAAGCAATATACACACATACGATCAAGCTTTATCAGCGAATAATTGACAATGTCAAAATGTTAATCAAGAATATATAAATCCATCTGTCCAGATGCTAGAATAACCATGTGAGGTTGACATAATACTAGACGTCAAAAGATGACTGGTGTAGTCCTAATTTATCAGTATTATCATGATTCACTTGTCTATATTATCACTTTTTCCTCTCTTGTATTTTCATTAGTTCATTATACGTATGGCCATTCGAATGTTTACAAGTCCATTAGAAGCATGTGATGATATACGTGAAGATACACCGAATAAAAAGATCGACAATATGAATCTGTGTAATCATAAGACTACATCAGAAACAGTTTTAAACAATAATCATAATCATATCACTGCTACTTATACTGCCACTGATATCACTGATACATCTTTCATTGTAAAGCAGATTAAACGAATAGAAAATAATAGTGATAATAATCATATGGATAAATCTTTGACAAATGGAAGTACATACATATCAACCAAGTGCAATTAACTAGAATTTATTTGTTATAGACAAGGATGAATTGTTATTTACACATAATATAACTTGTGAACAAACTATATTAGATAAGTTTGTGTTTCATACTCATTCCATTTTATTCTATTCATTACTGTTTTGTCAATGGTTATTTTCTATGCTCCTCTCTTATTTTATATTCTATTCACATATCTATTAATTTGTAAGAGATTCAAATTTTCTTTTCTGTATGTTTTAATTGTTGTTTGTTTACTTCTCGATTTCACTACACATTGATTTTTTTCACAATGAGATTGACACACACACACACACATACACATTGCAGTTAACTATGGATCTTTTATAATTTCAACTCTTTCAATATGGTGGCGCTTTTCCTTCAAGAATTCTTGTTCAATGTCTTAATAGAGATATATACAAGTCACTATTATTTTGTATTTTGTTTGTATTCTGAGAAAAACGATTAAATTTGTAACCAGATGTATTAGGTGAACTTGAGTTTTATTTTGTCTTTCTGTGATCTTTATGTGTAGTCATTTCTGTATGATATGCGTCTAGACACGCCCTCCCAAATAGAAGTAAAATAATACTTAATATTGTTGTTATTATGTAATGAGAGTGGGATAAAAAAAGATCCCATGGAAAGTGGGAGTACACAATTTGTACTTGACTTTCTCATATATTACCATATGTAGATCCGATTGTAATGTTAGTAAATATCTCCCTACCTCTTTTTCTTTCACTCTCTGTATATTGTATGATGTAATGAAATCATCAGTCTTCTTTCTTTTTTTTATGTATCATTTTGAACTTCTACTGTTTTCATTATTTCGACTTTCACTATAGTTTTTGGAGTGGTTTTTGTCTTTTGTTGTTGTTTACACTTTTGTTTTAATAAAACAAAGAAAAGAGTAGTGATAATGAGAGGAATGAAACTCAAGAAAAATAATGATGGTTTATTTCGTTTGATCTGTAGTCCAATGGTTAAATCATTCCACTATCTGTCATCAAGTTCGAGGTTTTGAACCTCGTTCCATTTAATTCGGTTTGGGCAACCGAGTAGGATCATTAGCCCATACATTTGAACAGTGTCTTATACTGAAGTTAAAATTGAAAATTTTATATATTTCATCCCTTCACAACAGACTCTGTGTGTATCAGTGTATTTGTAACGCGAGTTTTTCAAACCTTTAATTACCCGTGAGGGTACTCAGTCTTCGGTTACTATTATAAGACTTTAGGAATTGTGTAGACTTTAATAGTATGTTTGAGTGGTACTTAGCCTCAAAAGCTGAATTGTCGATACAAAGACTCAAGAGGACGGATATTGAAAATGAAACAACTTACTGCGGAAGGTCTTATGTAATAAAGCGAAAAGGTTACGTAAATAATGTTTGACACAAAACTATGACAGTATTATCGGAAATGCAATTGACTGAAGGATATGCTGTTACTAGAGCACTCATCAGCCTGTGAAATGATGACCTGACTAATTGGCCAAGTTTATTGAGTGCTATGCTATGGTTCAAAATCAGTTGTGGTGCTGATTAGTAGATGTAACATAATAATTAGGACCTATAGCGCAACACTGGATCTTTAGCATAGTGATTACTAAATTATACCGAGTGAATTTGAACAACGCGAATTCCACTACGCTTGTGTTAAATAAAGAGGATTCAGTGTGTCTCAGTAGTTTTTCACCGGTTGTTATTAGTCTCAATAAATTATGCCAGGAGACTTCCGGTCACATGTCATAAAAAATCATTCATTCTGAGCTCTAATTAGCCAATTTCACAGAAGCACTTTAGCCAATAAATGTCCACAGAGATATATGCGTGAAAATACCGTATCTTTTGGACATGATGGTAAGATGTATTTGAGTATAAACGATAATATGATTTTGATATGATATTTACAATATGGGATAAAGTTTGACAGCATCACATGTTCAAGGTCAAATCACTCGTCATGAGACTGACATTAGTTGATTATACACCACCAAGGTATAATAGGTTTGTGTTATTATTTTTTTCGAACTGCATCGTCTAGTTGAATCTAAAGAATTGAGTGCAATGACTATATTTGATGGCTAACATCAGTCTTGTTAAGAATATTGGATGTGGAAAAGAAATTAGCGATATCTTTTCTACAGTATCTTTATCCCGTTTCTTCTGCATTGACATGCAGTGATGAAACTTGGATAGATGAAAACGAAACTGTTTGGATTAGGGGATACTAAATCATTTGGTTATTTCAATCTAGATTATTAACAAACAGTTTAGGCTTTAGTGAAAACGGAGTAACTGCCTTTTGAACAACCATAATATGAAGGTCCACCACCGAATATTACATCGTGTTGACCGATTTACGTGTAGGTGGACACTTACACGGGAAAGAGTCATCATGACTTGCAAGTAAGAGTGGGTAAACATTTATCAAACTATTCTCAAGGATCGGAAAAGTAATTTAATCATTCCCAAAGAATATTCAAACACATGGAATATTAGTACGGACGATCATTTCCGATAGCTACTTCATCAGGATCGACAGTTATTAATCCAAGATTATTATGGTGTTACATCAAACAAAACAGTGAAGATGAATGAATCCATGGTATAAACAGAAATGGTGAATTTCCCGTCCATCGAATCTTAAATACCACAGATTACTAGTGAAACAAAATAATTAGGTTGACGGGTTTTAATCAATCAGATAAAATCGCATGTAAAATCTATTTCATAGTTGTTGTGACGGTAATAACAACAAGAATAGGAAAGATGAATGTACAACTAAAGATAATAGGAAATGTCTTGTAAGACAGTGCGAATCATACAGATTGAGGAAGGAACAAAATTGGATCTATGAATAAAACGACCTTAATGTGTGCCAAGGTAATCAAAGAGGTTGTATATGTCTATTTCGTATACGTAAGTTATATTTCTTTGAGTTGATATTCTTTCTCGTTGAGTTAAATAACTGTTTTGATCGTAAATTACGCATCAAAACTACTGTTTACACTTTAATTGCATCTACCCCAGATAAAGTGATATTGTATTGAGTTTTTCGATTTTGCTTCTGTGTATTTATTGCATCGAAGCATACTTGGTCGACTTTTACTTGGTTTATTTAGTTAAGGTTTGGAAATCCTTCTACATATCCTGTTTTCGTCACCGTTCTAGTTGATTTTCAAGATGGCTAAGTCTACTCATAAATGTGGACAACCATACTGCTTATTTCCCGTGGATGAAGGGATGCAATGTGATGAGTGTAATAAGTGGTTCCATAAGATGTGCACCCGATTAAGCCCCACTGCATATAAAAGGTGTTCAAAGCCCAACTCTCATTGGCTTTGTAGTTTTTGTTGCTCGAGCAAAACATTGCTTATCCAGGAAGCAATTAGTCTCCTGGTGTTGGCTAATAAGAAGGTTGATGAGGGCTGTACTGATAACATTGGTACTGATGGCGAAGATTGCGTTAGTGTCGTAAGTGCTATCACGGCGCAAGCCAGACATCTACCTGTGCAACCCACAGTTAAACGTTCTCCCTCGAAACGATCAGTGAGTGACACGTCATTAGACGTTGGTGGCCATATTGCTTCAGCAGCAACCGGTGACCCAGATAAAACAATTACTGTCCCGAGTTGTTCTAATGTAGACGTTTCCACTGATGGAAAATGGATGACGCGAAAACGCAGAAGAGTAGGAAAGATAGCTAAAACTAATGACTGTTTACTTGGTAAGTCCTTGGTGGACTCTCAGACCAATCCGCCAAAGCTCCAAAGAAAAGCTTCGTCTAACACTGTTGTGAGTCATTCACTGACTCCCAGGACTCTGTTACAATAAAAGCTAATCGTAAGATACCAGTAGTTAAAATACAGGATCTATCGTCACGGTCGAAAGCTGTGAACACAGTTTCAAAGGAAGCTAAACCCCTCCCTAGTTTAATTATTTGGAATCTAGAGGAGTCGAAAGACAACGACCTTGCTAGAAGACATGCACATGACCTGCAGTTAGTGGAGTCTGTGGTAAGGAATGTACTACGTGAAGAGGTTTCAGGGGTACATATTACAAAAGTAATACGACTTGGTAAATGGGTTGGAGGCGAGACCCAACCAAGAAGGATCCTGAAGCTGGTTCTCGGGAGTTTCGAAGAAAGAGACATATTATTGAAAAGCGCACAAAAAACTCGTGCCTCAAATATCCGTATTCGACCAGATTGGCCGCTTGAGGATCGAATCAAGTGGAAGAATGCTCTTACGGAGTTGAGGACCCGCAAATTAAATGGCGAAAATAACCTTACCATTAAGGGTTTTCGGGTAGTCAGGTCTTGGAAGCCAATGCTTCCGAGGCCTGTATGGGTAGAACGATTGATTGCCAAAACACCTTAAGTGTGTGCTACACGAACGCTCGTAGTCTTAGAAATAAAACATCCGAGCTAAGTCTGATGGCGCAAGAATTATGTCCCGATATAATCGTTGTTACAGAAACTTGGTTCACCGTTGATATAGACTGTTCTCCTTTCATTGCTGGTTATATCTGTATCAGAAGTGATAGAGTTTCAAGTCGCAAGGGGGGAGGTATAATATTTTACGTTAGGGATCACTTTCGTATACAATCAACCATATCGGAGGCTCATATCAGTGGCACATGTGAGGTTGCATGTTGTAAGATTAAATCTAGAAATGGGTTAGTGACTATAGGGGGAATATACCGTAGTCCGTCTTGTCTGGCTGACGACTTTATCCTAAAACACATCTGTTCTTGGAGTATGGCAGAATGTTGTCTCATCATTGGGGACTTCAACGCACCGCATATCAACTGGATAGAGCTTACAGCTCCAGGTAGCGGTTTCGATAGTGACCTTTTATCTACCGTTATTCAGTGTGCACTTGTACAATGTATCACAAAACCGACACATATTGATTTGCATCATGTTCCGTCACTGCTGGACCTCGCCCTCACCCACCACTGTGAGGATGTCTTTGATATCCAGCACCTTCCTCCACTAGTGAACAGTGATCACGTTGTAATTCACTTTAAGTTTAGGACACATGGTATACAATTCGTATCTGCTCCACCCCGTCCCAATATCTGGCGAGCTAATATTCCGGAAATCAGAAACCGTGCTATCTCGACCGATTGGTCGGTCGACGCGGATGGATTGATCGAAGATGAATGGAATAAGTTTAAGGCTACATTCGAGTCCGTAACGTCGCCGTTTATCCCATGGTCAGTACGTAAGCTATCACATTGCCCTCCATGGATTAATAAGGAAACCCGGAAGCTGTTAAAGCGTAGGAAACATTTCTGGGACTTATTCTTGTTGACAGGTCATGCACCATTTAAGCGTGAGTATCAAAAATACCGTAATATCTGTAAGAAAACCATAGCGAAATCCCGTACCATTTACGAACGACAGTTAGTATATGATAGCCGTACTTGTCCGAAACGACTGTTTTCGTATGTTAAACGGCAAATGAAACGTAGTGAGGGTATTCCTCCGTTACTGTTACACGAAAATTCAGAATTACTAGCTGAATCAGATCGAGCAAAAGCTGAGACTTTTTCAGATTATTTTAACGAAGTCTTCTCTACGTTTATTGTAACAAATACTTGTCCCACTCACACCGAGATACCAACCATTGAATCCGTACAGGTGACTGAGGAAACTGTCCTTCCGTTGATAACTAACCTCAAACCTGGTAAGATACCGGGCCCTGACGGGTTACATCCACGGTTGCTGTCATCTCTTGCGGACATTATTTCGAAACCGCTTGCGACACTCTTCAACATGTCCCTCTCACTCGCCCAACTCCCTAGAGATTGGAAGGACGCTATAGTTAGTCCTATATTTAAGGACGGTCAGCGACAGATAGTATCTAACTACCGGCCTGTCAGTCTAACTAGCATAGTCGTTAAGTTACTTGAAAAGATAATTCGGGTTAGG